ATTAGTAGACTTCTTTACATGTATGAAACTGACTCACATTCTGAATAACTGTAAATAAAATTCACAGTACAGAAAAACAAAAAAGGTATTTGTATTTAAGCAAAACATAATCAAGACAAGCCGGTACGGACCGGTATACCGGCCGGTACCGGCGCCGGTCCGGTACCGGTATGAAATTTGTATACCGGTGGCCGGTACCGGTATCGCAATTTTGATACCGGTTACACCCCTGGTCGGGTGCGGGTCGGCATTTTGGCAGTCGGGTCGCATTCGGGTTAGGTGTTCTGAACCCGTGCAGGTCTCTAGTGTGGACTACAAGAAAGCACTGAAACATGTCTTTCATCGATTAGACACAATAATATTGTTATTATAGCTCATGGAAATACAATCCTGCAACTGTACGAATAGCCAAAATATAGTTCCGAAATAGAATGGCATTTCTTATTTTTATGTTATAGGACGTTCGAGATTTCAATTTGCCGTCAGATGTTATTTGAATCAGACAATCACCGTTGCAACTGCCCGAAATCAACCATTCATTATATGGCGGTAGTAAAGACAATCTTAAACCACATGCGTCAGCAATGGTTAAAGACGAAATGACATTCATTTGCACATCACGTATCTGAAAATAAAATTCATTTTTCGATCGATTTCGAATTGTTAAACCAAAACGTTTGTTAGTATTATTGTGACGAAGATCACCAATCCATTCATCTAGTTGACATGTTTTTGGAGATATCCACCTTTTGACGAATTCAAACGATGAGAGATCATATTCATTAATCTGTGAACCATCTTCCGAATGAGAGATATAGAGCGTATTATCAGACGATGTACAACGATAAAAACTACCATTGGGTTTTATCGATTCAATCAATTTTATTTCGCATGTTGACACATCGACTGTGAATACATTTGTGTGACTTATTATGATAAATAATTCAAGGTGTTGACACCAGCAATAATCAAAAATAAGTCCATTAGGCCAATCGATGTTTCCAACGGGTTTTAATTCTTTATCGTATAAATATAATTTTGAAGGTTGATCTAGCAATAATAGTTGATCATTACAGGCTAATGTACCAGTACTACTGTCGAAGGCTTCCAACATTTTACTTTCATTTGTCAAGATTGTTAAATCGATAGACTTCAGAATCATGTTCGATTTAACCTGAATACTGTCTTGCTCTATCTTCAATTGTTCTATTTCGATGTTAACAAAATCGTGCTGAAATGCATTCAAACATGTCTCAATATTATCTAGTTTCATCCTGATTTGTTCAATATCTTTGTATGTAGCATCACCTTCCTGAATAAGCTCATTAACATGTTGTTTCACTATCTCAATGACTTTTGATTGTTCATGTTTATGCAAAACGAAATTTCGCTCATATTTATCTCCAATGGTTTGAATTTCGCGCTGCTTTCTAGCATAAATGTTATCAATTAACTGATGACTATGATCGCGCCATTTTTCTAGATCACTGAGCCATTTGTCTAAAAGTTTATCTAACGTCAAACGGGTTAAATTCTGCAATAACTCGTTTATACGATCTGTTAATGGATGAAGTTCGTCTTGAATCAATCTAATATGCTCATTAAAATGTTTTGGACAAACATGATGATCACAATGGTGGCATAATGCGGCGGCCAAACGTTTACAATCAGCAGCTTCGCATTGTTTAGACATGCTAATTCGAAATGATATGACAATATACTACAGTCACACTATGTTCCTCATCAGAGTTAACCTAATCACAATTATTTCGCTAATCATGGTTAATTTTATGTTTGATTAAAAAATGATTAGCGAAAGAATCGCAATTAAGAGCACGGCCACGCTACTAAATTATTAACACATGATTACTTGTAATCACGAGTAATAGTGTAGTGTGATCGTACTGATAGAAATCTCATAATGAAATGCAAAGAAACGCACCTGCAATTTTTGATCTGATTGTCTCTCTGCTGTTCGTACCTGTGAATATTATTTTAAAGCGATTTTGAATAAGTAGTTAGCTAAATCAAACGCTGGGTTGTTTTTGACTTTTTTTATCGTGTTCGCACTAACAATTAATGTAGAATAATATGTGCACAACTTGTCACTGAGATGCACATGTTTGTGAAAATTTTACCTTCAGTTCGTTTTGTACTTGACGACGAGATAAATCAAAAAAAGAGAAAGAACATGAAAAGAGAACGCTTATCATCACCTTGCTCTGTGAAAGTTATTATAGAAAGCGAGGCTTCATGATTGAGACCACTTTTTTTTCATGATTATTAATTAGATTTATAAAGTGATCTCAGTTTGGAATGCGTCTAATCTCTCGTTTCCTATACGAATAAAATGCGGTTTCAATTTGGAATAGAGAGTTTGTTCTTTTCACTCTGATGTTATTTATATGAACGTATAGCAGAAACTTTGGAATGATTACACACAAATATATTATAATAGAAGCAACACAACAAACAGATCGGTTATATTTTAGGTTCATACTCATCATCATCTTTAAAATTAGAATCATTATCTAACACAACTAGATAACGGTCGTATAAGGCGATCCACTTTATAAATCTAATCTCTCTAATGATAAAAAAAAGTGGTCCGCCACTAAATCAAAAACGATATAGATAAAGAGTGTTTCAGATATGTGCAATAGTACAGAAAGTAACAAAACGAAGGGAAAAAATAATCAGGTCCTACCCAGATTTGAACTGGGGTTGCTGGATTCAAAGTCCAGAGTGCTACCGCTACACCATAGGACCGACGGTTCATCAGAGAAAGACATAAAACGTATTGTTGACATTTACTAGAAAACTAGGTGTCCATCTCCGACAGCCATCTTTGCCGACAGACAAAAGATAGTGCCCTAGTAAAAAGTCTACATCTAAACATACCTGAACCAAGTACTTGTATATTTTCATCAAAATTTAAAATATTCATAACTGACTCAAAAACCATTCAAACTACTTCAGAATTTCAGGAAACACTCTATTTTGCCCGCTACTTCTGATTCTCTACGTAAAACCAATAAAAAAGTATTCTCTTAGTTCCGAAGGTTTCTGGGAAACCTTTCTAGAAATCAAAGTATTTCCTGTTGGATTTTTTAACATTATTGAGCATTATTGAGAACTTATTGAAATACAGATAAAATGGAGGGTTTGCTCAAATTCTGAAGTAGTTGCAATAGTTTTTGACGCAGTTATGAATTTTTTAAATTTTGATGAAAATAATCAAAAATGGATTATATCACCTAGTATAGGTTTTCACTCGGTTCTTGCATTTTGTTCTGAAAACTAACACTGCCCGGAGATTAAGCATAGTCGATGATCTATGTTTTCATGTGTTACAATAGTGCCACACCTAAAGAACGGGGAGTCCTAGGGCATCGGAAAAACTGCCTGGTTTGTCTAAACCTTGCAAGATAGAACTTTTGTTTAGATATAGTTTTGCAGGGGATACTTTGAGCTATCTATCCATGTAAAATCAATAGACTCCTATGACAGTTTTCAGAAATTCAGCGTGGTTTTCCAGAGATCCTTTGAAAAGCCGATTTTGGGATTTGTTTTTAGGAAAGATTTTGCCTGTGAAGATATGCTCCTGGATCTTGGCTGTCAAACAGTGGAAACCGCAGGTCTTCGTCTTGTTCCTATCAAAAGTTATTCAAAAAACAACTGAGTGCGTTGACTTCTGGAACGGATAATAGAACGTATGGACTAATAATTAAATGTTTATGTATAAGTAATTGTGTTTCTAATAATTGTCGATAGGACATTTGATTTGATTCTTGTTAGTTTAATTACAATAATAATTTCTGATATGAAACTGATAATAAATGCGGTAAGAAAGTGGAAGATATACAAAGGTATAATATTTAAGCCATGAATGACGTTGATATGTAATAGAACACCATGTACGCTGTTCTATTGGATCATTAGTTAAACGACAATAGATTGGATGAGACGTAAAACTTGATATGTTAAATATGACTACCGTAGCCGCGATATATTTTGCCACATTTACACTTGTTTTTCTATATATTCTGAATGCAGTGCCAAGAACGACAATAAGAGATCGTTCAATTGCAACCACTTGAAAATAACCATTCGCCGTTGACAGGTAAAACTTTTAATAGAAATTCTGTTGGAATACAGCTTAGATTCATTAGTAACCGATTTGGATTTGACACCATTTGTGATAGGAAAAGATAAATAAATTTTGTAGCAAAAACGATAATAGTGAATAACAGAGATGCGCGGGACAAGGTTTTTTGACGTCCCGTCTCGCCAAAAACTTTCGGGAGCCTATCCCCTTCTGATCCGCCTCGGCGAGACGGGTCGCGATGAGACTATCCCACGCACCTAGTAGCATGCGCTATTTTAATTAGCTGGACGATCTCAGTATGCAAAGCCAATCTGATTTTCGTCGAACAGGACGTTCATTGTTAGAGACATAATTCTGTCTCTAACATGACAGTTGTCGCTGCGCAAGGATGATCATTTTTTAATTCTCTGGATAGGTAAGACAAATCAGTACACAGAGAGAAACGTTCTGCTACCTCAAAACCACAGAAGTTCCTTTCCTTTTATTTACGCATCCATATGTTTACCGTACATAATCACACACAATGCTAAAAATAGGGCACATAGCTATGCTACTAAATATTCCTGAATGAATAACACGAAGCTGTCCGAATGCTGGAAGGAACTAAAATTTCTACGAAATTTTCGCAATTGCGACTAAGATAGTTTTTCCAAATCACAATACATACTAGCTGAATATGTCGGTATAATGCTCCTAAATATTCCTTTAGTGCTTTATTCCTGTCAGCTCTAATTTTACCGATAATATCCGGACTTTCAACTGTACATCTAAACATTGCAACTCAGTAGACTCTATTGGTTACGCTCGTCATATCTTCTAATCCAAGATCAAATATGTCATCTGATAGCCAATTCTCCGGATAATTTTTTGAGTTCATCCAGAAGTCGGTCACATCTATGACATAGATTTGCGGTTTTAGTTATACGGGCATTTTCAGTTATCACTCATCTGTTGTGATTGCAAGGTTTTTTGACACCATGCCCGTAAGGAGACTTCAGATAATCGTTTAAATAATCAAAGGACTGTTGCTTGCATTTCATGTTACGTATTTCATTGATATTATATGATATAGATATGAAATACGAAAGTTGCGCACCGAACGATGCGCACGGAAACTTGCGCACAGAAAGATGCGCATGAAAAACTTGCGCAGATCTTGCGTACGAGTAGGTTGCGCACGCAATAAGAAATTCTTATTTTATATTTATATTTATTACAAAATCCTAAGACTTTTAATTGCCATTATCGTTTATATACATGTAATTCTACTGGTGTTTATAAGTGAAATGAAAATATTGTGAAGATTATACAAAACAATATTCTGAGGCTCAAGAGTTTGATGCAGGCAACAGTCCTTTGATTATCTTTAAACGATTTTCTGAAGTACAATCGTGAACTTGAGTCTAGCATACGATCGTATTTATAAGATCATATATATCAGATCATCAATCATCAAAGGCACTAAGTTATAAACAGATAAATAGTCATCTTATCCCATAAATTAATTAATTGTAATAATGAAGTGTTTTATCTCTTATGGTGCTTTAATCCCATTAACACAAGGTTGTTCTAAGAACAAAATCAGTTACAAGTACATAAGCATGAGTATTCGTCATCGGAATTACTGCTTATTAATTGTATTCAAACATGTCTACTCCTGTCGAATTCACCACTACCACAAAAGGTCGTCCTTTAATGATACTAGACAGGTTGCTCATACATTCAAGATCGTCAAACCTATGAAAAAACTTATTGGCGTTGCGAAAATCATAAAACTTTTAATTGCCATTATCGTATACATACATGTAATTCTACTAATAGCCAAACACACGTCACCATAATTAATCGAAGTGGTATTCATACAACCAGTTGCAATCCAATCGAAATATCACTAACAAAATTCATGCAAATGTCGTCGATCATGCAAAAAATACAGATGAGAACTAATAATTGTACTGAGGCGTGGAACAGACGTACTGGTAAGTCAACAAATATAAAATTAAAACTTGCTTGCTTTGCATGAACACTTTTCTTTTTCAGGATGCGTTTTTCAATGTTCACATCCGACTCTGTGGAAGTTTATCGAAAAAATAATTTTAGAGGAAGATTCCCATATTCATACTAAAATAGCACGAGTCAATGTCGGTGAAGAAGTTTCAAAAAAAGAAAAAGTATCAACAAGGTAACCGCCCCCGTTTTTTTTCATAACTTTGTAGAGCACATCAAGCTGTATATACCCAGGAGTGCTTTCGATGAACAGACTTGTAATTGCTGAGAAAAGAAATTTTTCGATATTTCATAAGTCATTCAGGAATAATGACAAAAA